AAGGCACTTGAATATAACAACAATAATAATCCCCTGAGGGCATTAAAAATTTAAGAACTTAAAATTACATGGACCCATAAATTCTAAAAATAAAAGGGGGGGTTTATCCTAAAATTTTTCCCCCATAGGGGGAAAAAACCCCTTAGGGTTTCCAGGTCCTTGCCCCCGGGGGATTGTTCCGCCCCCCCAGGAAATCCAAATTATTTTGGAAATTTCGTATTATTAATTTTTTGGGGATTTTTTTCGGGGAAAATTAAGTGCCCTGGGGAAAATTTTCTTTATTTAATACGCAATGGGGAAATTACTTTGGGTGAAGAAAAAGTCATTATAATTGAAAGTAAAGTGCGTTCCGGTCCGTTGTTAATAAAACCCTCAACCTCGTCTTTTTACGCTCTCTCTCTGTAACCCTTGTGTCTCTTTATACCTCTCGCCTTAGCACTTTTTTTTGGGGTTTGATGTCTGTCCTGTTGCTTAACACTCTGGGGCTTAAAGCAGTTTTTGTTGTAGCCGTGGGGTCTCCTTTGCACCTGCTTTCTCTCTCCTCTTTTAAATTCCCCCTTTTAAAACCGTTTTGGTTGGGTTTTTGAGTACCAAAAACAATTCCCCAGGGGATTTTCAAACCCCGGTCCCCGTGTGTTCGGCTTTTAATTTTTCCATTGGGGTCCTTAATCTTGGTTCCCAGGATGCAAAATCGTCGGGGCTAACACCCCGGGGAAACAGGGAAAATGCTGGAACTAGTGGGGCCCCTATTTTTGAAAATTTAACCACAAAGGTTGGTTTAGAATTTAAGAAGTTGTGACAACCGTGTAAAAGGTGGAAAAAATACCAAACGGCCCATTAGGGGGAAAAAGGCCCCAGGACAAGTTCTCACGTTTTCCTTTTTTAATTTAAAGGTAAGTGTATTTTTCTTCATTTAAAAGAAAAGAAGACAAAAATTTTTTTATATTGTGCATTTTACTAAAATCACTTTTTCATTATCCTTCTCTTTGGTTAGGAAAAAGTTATTTTCATGTGGTAAAATTTTTTTTTTAAAAACTTTTGGGTGTTTTGCCGGATTAATTTTTTTCCTTATTTCTTATGGGGAAATTATTCAATAGGAACATTTCGTAACAGCCCCCCTCTTGCAGGGATTAAGGTCGCTTGCGGGGGTCCACTGTATAGACTTTTTGCTTAATCCATCTATGATTTTTTTTTCAAAATTAAAAATAAATTGTACAAAATATATAAACATGATAAATACACCCAAATAGAAAAAATTTTAACATAAATATGAGGGTTTTTTAGTGTTTGTCGAAGTGTCGAAGAATAGTTCGCACCAAGAAATAGACACAATAGTATTTGGAGGTAATGTATAAAATTTTCCTTTTGTAGCCTTCATCGGCGGCATTCTTTCCAAAAAAGGTGTTTTTACGAGAATGGGAGGTTGCTCTTTTTTATTGTACTGTACCAATGTGGAGACAACTTGTACACAATGTAAGGTGTTTTTTGATGATTAAACTTTACAATTATAAATGAACCGTATAACCCACCGTGGTTCGTTGTTTGTTTACATTCTGCACTCGCCCCTCTCATTTACCTTTTCTCTCTCTCTCTCTCTTTTCTCGTTTATTCGTTTTTATTTCCCTTTTTCACCCCTCCGTACATAAACACAAAAATTTTTAGGTAAAAAAGAGTGTACGTACCGTATGCATTTTTTCACTCTAGGGCGCTTTAAATGTATAGTATATTTCGTGTAGGTGGGTAGCCAGATGGGCTACCATACCTACACACCTGACTTTTTACAAATATATTACCCCCTTTACCCTACTTTTGACCATTATGATACAAAAGTTTTTGGTAGTAATGATGTTTCGCTTATGCATTTTATTGTCTGGGGGGACTTTAAAAGTCATAGTACAGTGGTCCCTTGCTTTTCGTAGTTCTCGGCAATCGTAAATTTTGCCAATCATAGGGGTATTTTCGTATAAACATGGACTCGCTTTTCATAGGTTGATTCGCGAATAGTAGTTCGTCCGGGATGCGTACACACGGTGTGAGCCAAGGCGGCCTCCCTACCCAGCCAGTCTGGCATTGTTTACCAGTGAGTGAAGGTCCCCTCAAGTGCTCCTACGAAATATTTCATAATATTCCACTCATTTTAGTGCTTGCAAGTACTAAATAAGCTACCATGGCTCCAAAGAAAGCTCCTAGTGCCAAGCCTGTGGTAAAAAAGGTGAGAAATATGTACAGTGACAAAGTCTTGGGCCATTTTAAGGAAGTGTTAAAGAGACGCCAGAAACAGAGCTCTCTCCACAGTTACTTTGCGAGACAGGACTAGAGTGACTCTCAAGGTGGTCCTAGTGGCATTAAGAAACAGAGAAGAGAAGCAACCCCAGAGAAGCAATTGGTACCTGAGGTGTTTGCTGGAAGGGGATTCCCCTTCCAAACTGTAAACAATCCAATCTCTCTCCTCCTCCAGTCTCCCATACACTAAGAAGAATCTCCAATAAAGGTAAGTGTTATGCTGTTAATGTTTCATTCATCATTTCCCATTGTATTGTTTATGTACTACATGTATATTTCATGTAAAAAATGTTTTTGTTTTAATACTTCTGGGTTTCAGGAACGGATTAATTGTATTTACATTATTTCTTATGGGGAAAATTGATTCGCAAATCGTAAATTTTGTTTATAGTAGCTCCTCCAGGAACGGATTAATTACAAAAAACGAGGGACCACTGTATATTATGTGTGGGTGGGGAGGGGTGGCCTGGCTGGCTACCATACCTGACTTCTTACAATAACACTACTCACCTCTCACCCTATATTAAGACTACAAATATTTTGAGATAAGTAATGAGTGTACTGTGTGTATATTTTATTTTTTATTGTTTTTTAATGCCTAGTTCTATTGCTAACTTAATACATGTTAGTGCAAACTTATCATCTGGCTTTTATATGCATTCATAAGTGGAAAAAATGGTGTTCTGCTTTCTGGCGATGTCTGCTTTCCTGCAGTAGTCTGGAACCTATGTGAATGTGTTTTCTTTGGCTGTCTCCTGCCTTGGTGGAAAACAGCCATTGAGTTGAAATACAATAATAAAATAATCATATAAAATAGCTGGAGGGAAGGGGTAAAAAAAAGTTTGAGCATCCAGCAGACTTGTGTACGCATGTTAGATAGGAGTGAATGGAGACAAGTGGCTTTTAATGGACATGCTGATGGAACATGAACGAGGTAATGTAAATAAAGGGATTCGTGGAAAACCAGTCAGCTAGACTTGAATCTTGAAGGTGGGAAGTACAGTGCCTGTACTCTGAAGAAGGGGTGGGAATGTTACAGTTCAGAGGGTCAGATGAGCTGTAATGTCAGCATTCTTCTGGGAGACAGCTGGCTTTAAAAAAAATGATAATAAAACTCAATCCCATTGCCTAGCCAAGGAAAGAAAGTGTGGAAACAGGAAACTTAAAGAAATTAAAAAAAAAAAGAAATAAAGGTTCAATCTGTGCATAGCTGTCATTTAATAAATCAACTTTTCATATCCAGTAAGGTTTAATGGTTTGGCAATATTGCACCTGTTTATGTTGGAATTGTATTGGTGGATAAAGAAACAGGAAAAAATTACACTTTACATATTAATGAAGGTCTTAACACATGCATCAAGATGGAAAACAAATGAATAGTACAGTAGACCATCGTTTAACATGGTTGTTACATTCCTGGGAGCCCCCCCAAAAAGCCAAACAACTTTTTTTTAGACCAACAGATCTTACAAAAATAAAAGTGAATATGTAATTGTTGTTCACTGTTGTGATGTATTATGTTTTTTTACTGCATAAGATTACAAATGCAACAGAAATAATAGTATTTCTTACCTTAAATTATGGGTGCTGATGTTTGTGGACGATTGTGAAGAGAGTGGAAAGTTATGCTGTGGCCCTACTGGGTTGAGGTGGATGATAAGAGGTACTGGTACTGAACTCAATGGTTGTACTGGAGTGTGCATAAATTCTGTAAGGGATTTCTGTTCTATCTTACCCTACAGTACATTATACAAATACATTAAACAATTGACGGTAAAGCATCAGCTGCTCTAGACACCGTTTCAAGGTCCTCTTCAGTGAAAAAGTCTAACTTTAAGTCATTCAGTCAGTCAACTCAGTCAGTCAATTCATTCAGTAAGTCAGTCAAGTCATTCATTCAGTGAAGTCAGTATATCAGTCAAGTCAGTAAGTCAGTCAGTCAATCATCACAAACTCATACTTACCTCATTCTTTTTGTGTACAAATTGATGCTTCATTTCAGCTACAGGCTATCTCTTGTCTAATGTCTCTATTTTCTTCGTTAATTCTAAGACTTAAATACTTAAACCTTTTCTTGCAACTTTCAGCAATACTCATATGCCTACTGGGTGCCATGATTGCTTGGCAGATTAAGATATGGCAATTAATACGTATCTAAACAAACAGCGAGCTACTGGCACAGGTTCGTCCAACACACGTATGAACAGAACTGAAGGCTGGGAGGGTGGTGGAGGTGCTTGATGCTGGCGGGGGATGGTGGTAGGTCTCCCCCATTAACTCAATGATATAACCCACAGCCCAACCCATCCCGCGGGCGACTGTGCGCTCAAAATTTTCCCCCCTCCCTCAACCGTGTTAAATTAATTTTACTAAGTGTTAAACAAAAATATGCCACAATTCTTCCATCGTGCTATAACTAAAACGTGCCAGACAAAGCCCTGTTAAACGATGGCGTACTGTATATCAAAAAACCATACCACGGGCGAGGTTTGAACATGTTGCGATTGAGTAGTAAAACTCTAAGCCAGCATGTAAGCCAATGGGCCACTGACTTACGCGCTGGCCTGGAGTTTTACGACTCACTCGCCATGAGTTCAATCCCCACCCATGGTATGGTTTGTTTGCAATCGTGTCATTACAATTTCGTGAGTCGATAGTATATTAATCAGAAAGAGAGGTGTGGCAGAAACATTAGAAGTAATGCTGAATCTACTTACTTTTTTGAGAGCTAAAGTGCCATTAGCACACCACAGAATACCAGCATTGAATTCCGAACTTATTCCTGCCCGACTAAGAACTTGCTTAAATTCGCTTAGTCGAATGTCATTGATGAAGACAGGACTGTGAGAGGGTGCCTGGTCAGTACAGAAGTTGAGTGGTTAAAAATGCTCATTATTATATCCAGTACTTAGTAATTTCACTGAATTATACAACAATCAATCTTCAAAAATTTTTCAACATTATAAATCTTTTTATCTCTCAATTCATCCAACACCTAATCCTACTTTCCATTAAAATGTCTAAATTCTATTCCTTATGATTAAAACATAAACATACATGCAACATTACTAACATAATCAAAACCCAGCCCTACTGCTTTACTGATATTATTCTGCCTACCAACATATTATATTTTTAGGGAATTAGAGTGAAGAATACTTTATACAGTATGAGTATGGATACATTTATCATTGCAGTATTTATTATTATTAATAATGCATTCATTACATATAGTAGTTTTACTTGGCTATTATTTTCTAATAAGAAACTACACAAAATATTTACTTTATAATTTCTTACTAGGTTAATATTTTTTATTTGAGTGATTTTAATGGAAAAGCAATACAAATAATTCTGATTGTTTTTACCTGTTCCCCATGAATCAAGTTGAGCACTGCCATGTCACCATCCCGCTGATTTTCACTTGCGATAACTGCAATATAAAATATTGTGATAATAGGTCATTTACGTCTACCAGGAACATTAGACAGGTAGGCTGCCGGAGACCTGGAAGATAACTAATGTAATTCCAACATTCAAAAGGGTTAAGGTTTAGTTTCCCCTGGAATAAAATGATAACAATTGTGCAAAAAGTCAATAGCTGCCATTAAACCAGTATCCTTTACAAGCCTCACATGCAAGGTTATGGATAAATTATTAAGAGATCTTGAAAATATGAATGTCACCACAATGATCCTGGTGTCCATTTCTGTTGACACAGCACAAAACACTCACAGTAAATTAAAACCAACCAGAGGGTTTTTTTTTAAGAATAAACTCACTGGATTTACAACATCAATTCTGTTTTCTTTCTATTAATATTTCTTAGGAATATCAATATAAACCAGTTTAGAGTGATATTTAACCCCTTCACTGTCCAAAGCCCCACAAATAAGTACTCAGTGTTCACATTTAAAAATAATTATTTTTTCTTCTGTAATGGAAGAAAATCGTTTTTCTTTGCAGTCGCAAAGTTAGCAATCTGGGCTCAATTTAAGCATTGGCAATTTTGCCCAATCTGAGTCCTATTTTAAGCCTATTCCATTGCTCAATTCAACCAAATTCTCAGTTATTTTGCTAGAAAGTCTTCCATTCTAGCAACTGAGCACCAGATACTGTCCATTCAACTATTAAAACTACCACAAAATGTGCAGAAAAGTCGATAATTTGGCCAATTTAACACAAAATTAAAAAAAATCCAATTTAAAAATAGTCCAAAATGAACACACACTGTAGGCATTCCAAGCACTAAAACAGCATTTCTTCTGTTCATTAATCATATCCCCAGGCCTCTCTTATATTACACTCACTTTTCATTTTGAATTCATTCACACAAAAAAAATCATAGTTGCCTATTTCTTGGATAATAAAATATAACCAGGAATGATTGGCCCTAGTTTGCAGTGTTCCAATAATTGAATCAAATCTAGTAAAAACCCACAAAACAGTCTGAGGTGGGAGAAATGTAGGGGGTCTTAGCAGTCCTTAGGAAAATAGACAAAAAAGTGAATATTTCTTCTACTTTGAGGCTGATTTCAAGCTACTTCCAGTCATGGAACCAATCAAAATCATCTTTATTTTCTGTGGTACACCTACCAAGAAACAACCAATAAAACCATCCTAGAAAACATCTCAAAGTCACTATTTTAAACTATACATAAGGTCAGTTATACTTTTATCATCATGCACTGTGTGTGGCAGGATTTTTATTCTGTGTGTACTCACCATACAGACCCATTCTCTCACATATTTAGGCCAAAATTTACTGCTCGCAACTCATTTGAGTGAGCTAAGCTCAAGATGTAGATGTGAGGGACCCCAGCATCAATAATGTAGATCTATGGACAGTGAAAGGGTAAATAGATATTGTTGGTACTGGGCTTGGGTGACTGTGTAAGAATGCAAAATGCATAGCAACATCCCTTTCAGATTGCTTAAGAGCAAATTTTTACTGTATGTAGCAAATTCCTGGTGAAAAAGGGTCACCTCATACAGGCAAATCTACACAAAAAAAATTTACACAAATGAAATTCACCTAACAAACTTTTTTTCCAGTCCCTTTCTACATCATTCAGTAAGGGTTAACTGTATAAGCACAGAATTCACCCATCAAGGTGGTGAGTGTATTGTACAGCATTTCACAAATCACTAAACCTGTGTGGATCATACAGTGGAAGGAGTGGCAGAGGCTAAATTGTCTTTCTGCTAATCATGACTCCAGTTTCTGGTTAATTACTTTTATCCCAGGAATTGAAGCTACTCTACTCTTCCTTGGATAAAATCTGATTACCCACCACCCCTCCTATTTCCCAGGCACTGTAAGGCATTTATGGACTTAGCACTTCTGAAATAATATAATAATAATATATAACCCAACCATTTATTATTTGTTCATTAGTAAGAACCAACCTCCCAATCTTATCAAGGACAAATTTTAGGTTAACACTAACCTTGTCTATCAGCCTCTTCTATCATCCCATTAATGTTTTCTGTAGGGTAAGAAACATAGCCATCAACCCAGGCAACTTCCATGTCACGCCCTGCAGGCATCAGCATCAATGACGACACCAATGACTCAGAAAGTTTTATCTGAAAAAAAAAATTAACAAACTGAGCTTGCGTTTTTAAGCTAAAGTATGAAGAGGAACAAAAAAATAAAGTTCAGTAAACTTTCAATTATTATTGCACAAATTACATTCTAGACACCTACAAATTTGTCAAATAACATTTCTTAACATGTTATTTTATCTTTCATTCTCTAGTTATTACTGGAAACATTTGAAGACTCTGGGGAGAGTTAATATAGGCTCACTGGGCTGAGATAGATGTAGTGAGGTTAATAAACTGATGCAACTCTGAACTTAGTTTTGTTCCAACATGTAGAGTTTCTGTGAGATAGAACCACATGGTGAATTTCACCATGTGAGAGAGCTCAGGGAAACCTGAACAGAAGCAAAAAAGCATGACAACTGTGATGCAAATATATCTGTATGACTATGGAAATTTCTGCTATTTTTATTATGCATATGTATAAAGAATTTTCATTAAGAAAGATTAGTGTTTGTCACTGCAAGAAGAACCTCATGTAGTTCTTCATCTTTAAAATATCCAAAATTCTGATCATAAGATTTCAAATATTTACGAGTGGACATGCCAGCAGATGGATCTATGAAGGATGAAGCGAATTATAGAATTGATGAGGGGAAAATGATGAGTGGTGCACTGAGGAGTCTGTGGAGACAAAGAACTTTGTCTGTGAAAGCAAAGAGGGGAATGTATGAGAGTTTAGTTATACCAGCACTCCTGTATGGGTGTGAGGCATGGGTGGTGAATGTTGCAACAAGGAGAAGGCTGGAGGCAGTGGAGATGTCATGTCTGAGGGCAATGTGTGGTGTGAATATAATGCAGAGAATTTGTAGTTTGGAAATTAGGAGGGTGTGGTTCAGACATGTAGAGAGAATGGAACGAAACAGAATGACTTTGAGAGTGCATAAATCTGTAGTGGAGGGAAGGCGGGGTAGGGGTTGACCGAGGAAAGGTTGGGAGGGGGGGGGGTAAAGGAGGTTTTGTGTGCGAGGGGATTGGATTTCCAGCAAGCATGCGTGAGCATGTTAGGTAAGACACATATGCAACAGTTAGGTATCTTTATTTCGAAACGTTTCGCCTACACAGTAGGCTTCTTCAGTCGAGTACAGAAAGTTGATAGAAGCAGAAGATACTTGAAGACGATGTAATCAGTCCATTCACCCTTAAAGTTTGAGGTGGTCAGTCCTCAGTCTGGGAAAGAGGGATTGTTACGTGTCTGAAACAATATTGTTTCAGACAACGGAAATGCTCTTCTCCAGACTGAGGGACTGACCACCTCAAAACTTTAAGGGTGATGGACTGATTACATCGTCTTCAAGTATCTTCTGCTTCTATCAACCTTTCTGTACTCGACTGAAGAAGCCTACTGTGTAGGCGAAACGTTTCGAAATAAAGATACCTAACTGTTGCATATGTGTCTTACCTAACAATCTGTCGGTATTTCATACCATTTTAATGTTCATGCGTGAGCATATTTGGTACGAGTGAATGGAGACAAATGGTTTTTAATACTTGATGTGCTGTTGGAGTGTGAGCAAAGTAACATTTATGAAGGGATTCAGGGGGACTGGCAGGCTGGACTTGAGTCCTGGAGATGGGAAGTACAGTGTTTGCACTCTGAAGGAGGGGTGTTACTGTTGCAGTTTTATAACTGTAATGTAAAGCACCCCTCTGGCAAGACAGTGATGGAGTGAGTGATGATGAAAGTTTTTCTTTTTTGGGCCACCCTGCCTTGGTGTTTTTTGGGCCACCCTGCCAATGTGTTAATAAATAAAAAAAACAAAGATTTCAAAAAACCTATGTGATAGAGACTAAAAACACTCAACTTTCTGATCAGAGGATCAAAGTTAGCTTAAAACTTTGGATTCTGAATTGGATAAAATTTGGTTTCTGAAATGAATAAAAAGTTAATTCTGATGGCTAGTATTTTCCATATAAGAACCAGGCCCCTCCCCATCCTAAAGGATGTTATACCCCTCTTTCCAATGCATGAAATCAATGTCTCCTTTTATTCAACATTTAACAGGTCCTCAAAATATTTCTGCCATCTTCCCAATACTTCCAACTCCCCATCTAAAAACTCACCTTTTCTGTTTTAAACTGTCAAATCTAATCATCCCCTAGGCTTTATCAACCAATTAATCTCCAAAACTTTTTTTTTATTCTCAGCAAAGTTTATTGACAAACCCTCCTCCACTCTCTCATTTGTTCTCCTTTCACACTACCTCACCATTATCTTAACTGCTTTTTTATGCTCCATACACTCCACCCTCCTTATATCATTTCTGCTTTGTAAAAACCTCATATTCTAACTTTTTTGACCTTATCACTCCCTTTACCTTGTCATTCCGCAAATTGCACCTCTTCCCTCCCATGCTTATCCTCCTATATCCACAAATTTCTGCTACACATTCTAACACTGCATTCTTAAATCTACCCTCTATCTCTTCAACCTTATTCCCTATACTCTCACTAACCCATCTCTCTAAATAGTTGCTTATATCTTACCCTAACTAACTCCTCCTCTAGTTTATACACTTTTGCATCTCTCTTACTCACTGATGCCATTTTCCTTGTGCTCTTATTCTCACTGTATCTATAACTAAATAATGATCTATCTGTTGCCCCTTCATAAACATGCACATCCAAACATCTATCCATCAACCTTTTATCCACCAATACATAATCCAACAAACTACCGTCATTATGCCCTATATCATCTCTCTTATACTTATTTATACTCTTTTTCTTAAATTATGTATTACCTACTACCAGACCTTTTTCTATACAAAGTTTGATCAAAGGCCTCTCATTATCATTTACCCTGGACACCACAACAGTTGCTCCCACTTCACCATTTAGCTCCCTCAATGCAATTCCTCTCTCACTTGGATTAAAACTCCCTAGATACTCATTTAATATCTCCCAAAATCTCCCTCTCTCCCCTCTACCCTCCTCTCTCCTCCAGGTGCAAAAAACACTTAGTATAACCCCTTTTTTCATCCAACCCTTATTTTACTCCACATAATCCTTGAATTTATATATTTATATTCCCTCTTTTCTTGTTATAACTGATCCTTCAATATTATTGCTACTTATTCCTCAGTAGTAGGTTGGTAGACAGCAACCACCCAGGGAGGTACTACTGTCCTGCGAAGTGAGTGTAAAACGAAAGCCTGTACGTAATTGTTTGACATGATGGTAGGATTGCTGGTGTCTTTTGTCTGTCTCATAAATATGCAAGATTACAGGTACGTCTTGTTACTTCTACTTACACTTAGGTCACACTACACATACATGAACACGTTTATTTATACACACTCATCTGAGTTTTCTTTGATTTTATCTTAATAGTTCTTGTTCTTATTACTTTTCCTTTTATATCCATGGGGAAGTGGAATAAGAATCTTTCCTCCATAAGCCATTCATGTTGTAAAAGTCATCTAAAATGCCGGGAACAATGGGCTAGTAACCCCTTTTCCTGTAATAATTACTAAAAAGAATAAGAAGAAAATTGTCAAAGTGGGATGTCTGAATGTGCATGGATGTTGTGCCAATGATAAGAAAGAGATGATTGTGGATGTTATGAATGAGAAGAAGCTGGATGTCCTGGCTTCAAGTGAAACAAAGCTGAAGGGGGTGGGAGAGTTTCAGTGGAGAGGAATAAATGGGATTAGGTCAGGGGTTTCAAACAGAGTTAGAGCTAAAGAAGGAGTAGCAATAATGTTGAAGGATAAGTTATGGCAGGAAAAGAGGGAGTATAAATGTATTAATTCAAGGATTATGTGGAGTAAAATAAAGGTTGGATGTGAAAAGTGGGTTATAGTAAGCATATATGCACCTGGAGAAGAGAGAAGTGTAGAGGAGAGAGAGAGAGATTCTGGGAAATGTTGAGTGAATGCATGGGGAGTTTTGAACCAAGTGTGAGAGTACTTGTGGTTGGGGATTTCAATGCTGAAGTGGGTAAAAATGCTGAGGAGGGAGTAGTAGGTAAATTTGGGGTGCCAGGGTAAATGAAAATGGGGAGCCTTTAATTGAGCTATATGTAGAAAGAGGTTTGGTAATAAGTAATACATATTTTATGAAAAAGAGGATAAATAAATATACAAGGTATGATATAGCACGTAATGAAAGTAGCTTGTTAGATTATGTATTGGTGGATAAAAGGTTGATGGGTAGGTTCCAGGATGTGCACGTTTATAGAGGGGCAACTGATATATCGGATCATTATTTAGTTGTAGCTACAGTTAGAGTAAGAGGTAGATGGGACAAGAGGAAAATGGCAACATCAAGTAAGAGGGAAGTGAAAGTGTATAAACTAAGGGAGGAGGAAGTTCGGGTGAGATATAAGCAACTACTGGCAGAAAGGTGGGCTGGTGCAAGTATGAGTAGTGGGGGGGTTAAAGAGGGTTGGAATAGTTTTAAAAATGCAGTAACAGAATGTGGGGCAAAAGTTTGTGGTTATAGGAGGGGTGGGTGCAAGAGGAAAGAGGAATGGTTGGTGGAATGATGAAGTAAAGAGTGTGATAAAAGAGAAAAGGAAGCTTATGAGAAGTTTTTACAAAGCAAAAGTGTTATAAGAAGAGTAGAGTATATGGAGAGTAAAAGAAAGGTGAAGAGAGTGCAAAAAAGGAGCAGATGATAGAGTAGGAGAGGCACTGTCAAGAAATTTAAAAGAAAATAAGAAAAAATTTTGGAGTTAAACAAGTTAAGAAAGCCTAGGGAACGAATGGATTTGTCCGTTAAAAAAAGAGTAGGGGAGTTAGTAGGTGGGGAGATGAAGGTATTGCGTAGATGGCGGGAATATTTCGAGGAACTTTTAAATGTCGACGAAGAAAAGGGGGCGGTAATTTCATGCACTGGCCAGGGAGGTATACCATCTTTTAGGAGTGAATAGCAGGATGTGAGTGTGGGGGAGGTGTGTGAGGCATTACTGAGAATGAAAGGGGGTAAAGCAGCTGGAACTGACGGAATCATGACAGAAATGTTAAAAGCAGGGGGTA